TGTTATTTGTGGGCAATAGCTCGCAATGCAATTTATCCATTATATCGTAGGCCTGGTATTGAATCGTCTTATTATAGTCAGTCCAACCGGGACTCAGCAGAGAGTCAGTGATATGAAAGTTATTAATGAGTATTTTGTAGACTCCCTGAGCGGTCGCATAGATTTTTGCTGAACTTATTTTTGAATCAGTTATAAATGTTTTTCTCAAATATAGGACTGGCACTAGAGCCGGGTGAGCTTGAATTACCTTGATCAAAATGCATTAATTACTAAAAACATTTATATTAAAACCACATACTTTTGAGTCGATATCCGATATGTTTTGTAACGCTGTATGTTGAGTGCCTACTGGGGCTCCAATGTATTGGGCGGTCCAGTCATTCATGTCCAGCCCTTTATCCCAAAAGTTTGATCCACCACTTGCGCCAAGTTGTACCTGGTCATTCTGGTCCCACACATTCACTTTCCAATAGGCTCTCTGTCCCGACTTTAACGGAGTTCCACCGTATTTAATATGAGTGCTCCTATCGCTCACCACTTTCTTACTGTCCCATAGGTTACCGATATCTTTGTCCAGACTTTCCGGATCTGTTGCCACAAGTATTTGATACGCTTTTTGAGACAAATCTCTTTTTGTGGGATCAGTCGCCTTAAGAGTCCATTGGAGTCGCGGCTGAGGTATGTCTACGGCTATTGGGTTACGAAGGTATTCAACCCTCAAATCAACGGCTGATATATCACCGGTCGGTGCCGTCAGTACTGTTACGCATAAGAGGCTCTCAACGAGAAAACTTAATAATACTATTGAGACCATCATTTGAATTGGTGTCAAACAAAACCAATAACTAGTTAAACATGTATTTCATTGTCTATTTAAAGACATTAATACTACAATATATGAATACAGTACTTATGCTACAATTCTTAACAAATCTCTGAATCAAACCAAACATCTGTTGTGTCACTCGAGTTATCAGTAAAGAAATGGAAAATTTGTTTTTACATATATTGAAGCACCTTTGTAATCAGCAAACTGTGCACATTTGTGCTTTTTAAAAAAAAGTAATCTTTAATTATGAGTTATAACAGCAAGATTACACTGAATTAGTTTTTTTTGTAATCCTAATTTAGATTTATCGCTAATTTTTTTTAGGATTTAATATTTTAATCAAACATCTTAAATCATTTTAAACAGTTTGATAATAAAAAGTTTCCATAATTAAGTACAAGCATACTTGACGCACATTAGTCGTTCATTTATTTTATTATTTAAGGTATTCATATCAGAGTATTTGGTCTATACATATTCAAAATTCTAAAAATAAATAATAATTTTATATTTTTACCACAATAATTAATTCTAATTTGCTATATTTTTATTATTAGTAATTATATAAGGAGCTGTTTTATTAGCAATATCTATCTTATTTTTCTTATCTAACTCATAATCTATCGTATTAACAGGCAAATTCCAGCTCTGTTCATAACCGGGGTCACTACCAAACTGTGTCCGGTGGTCCTCCAGGACCAGATCAGCTCCTTTCTCCCCCACTGCCAGTGCGGCCGCATTTGTATTGGCGTTAATAACTGCGGGAAATACTGACGTATCGATTACTCGCAAACTACTGACTCCTCGCACCCGAAGTCTCTCATCGACCACAACATCAGTCCTATGCTGTCCACCCATACGACAGGTGCCCACTGGATGTCTAAAACTTCGACC